CTATCCAATTTAAAGGTTAAAATACGAAAATAAACGGGAAATCAGAAGAAATTAGTAATGATAAAAGAATAAATCAATGAATTAAGAAAACTAATAATAAAGACTAATAAGTCCAAGGTTAGAAAAGAAATTAATAACAGCTAAATAATCAGAAGTAAAGGGAGGAAAATGCACATTTACTGTGATAAAAATAACTGGGAAAAAGTCACAGATACAGAAAATGAATTATAGATTCGACTAGTTTTGCTTAACTTTAAGCAAATAAATTTGAAAACTTGGATGAAATGGATGTTACCAAAAAATGCAATTTACCAAAATAGATCCTGAGATAGAAAATCAAATCAGACTGTAGCAGGATTCTCACACAGAGAGTCATTACACTAAGGCTCTTCTTTCCAGGAAGCAACTTTATTCCAGCTGGCATCGCTCAGTTGCGTTCCACCCAGACAACTGAGCTTCCAACACCAAGTGGTGTGGTTTTTAATATATTTTTTACTTCTTTGTCTCCCATATATGGTAACACACAAACATGCAGTCTGATTAAAATGTTAGGAGGTCTTGAGGGATGAATAGCAAGGTTGCCTTGAGATGTTCTTTTTTTTTTTTCTTTCCTGAGGGAAGGGACCCTACCACAAAACCATTACCATAGAAGAACGAGAGAATATTAGCAAAGAACTATCTCTCCACTACCTTCAGTTCCACCTTCACCTTTACCTCCAAAGCATGTGGCCCATGTTCTCTCACAAGGAAATTCCACCAAAATGGTAAATAGTAGTTGACTCCAGTGCTATTAACTCTGTCTTAGAGCACACACACACAAAACGGAAGTCTTTCATTCTTCTTATGAAGAGAGCATATCATTGCTACCAAAATTACTAAAGACAGCATGCACACACAATATAGTCCAATTTCACTTATGAATACCAATGTAAAAAATGTCAAATGTTTTATTAATTAAAGTATCTGATAACATGTGAAAATAATAATATACCGTGACTAAGGTTTATTCCAGAAATATAAGAGTGATTCAGTATTAATATAATTAATTAATCTTACTAATAGTTTAAAAGAAAAAATCTTATGTTCATAGATACTTAACAGGTCCTTGCTAAAATTGAACATACATTCTAGATTTTAAGACTAAATAATTCAAGAAGTGGTATTGGGACAAGAGGCTAGCTCTCTGGGGAAAAAAGTTGAACCCCTAATCACTTCTCACACCTAAAACCAAAATAAGATCCAAGTGAATAAGAGATTAAATGTAAAAGATGGAAGCATAAAAGAGCTATAAGACACCATGGGAGACTTTAAAAGACGGGAGGTTTTTCTAAGCATTACACAATACTCAAACTATAACAGAAAAAAAATTAATAAATTCAACTATATAATTTTTTTGAAAATATGCACAGCAAAACACACATAGGAAAAAACAAACAGTAAGGCAGGAATAATTTTTTAACTCTTATCACAAATGAAGGGCTACTTTTCTTAACATATAAATAACTCCCTCAAATAAATAAGAAAAGAGAACTATAATGCGATAGAAAATTGCCAAAGAATATGAGCAGACCAATGAAACAGAATAGAAAGCCCAGAAACAAACCCATGCATATATATGATCAACTAGTCTTTGACAAGTGTGCCAGATACACATAATGGGGAAATGATGGTCTTGTTAGTAAACGGTGCTGGGAAAACTGGATATCCACATGCAAAACGATGAAACTGGACCTCTATCTTATACCACTAGAAGAAAACACAGGGAAAAAGCTCCTTGGCATTGGTCTTGGCAATGATTTTTTTTATATATGACAACAAAAGTAAAGGCAACAAAAGCATAAGTATACAAGTTGGGACTACATTAAGATAAAAAGCTTCAGCACAGCAAAGGAAACAGTCAACAAATGAAAAGGCAACTTATGGATGGGAAAAAATAATTGCAGACCCTGTATTGGATAAGAAGGTTTGTTGAGGAATGTCATCAAAAAAGATGTGACTGACAATTAACCCTTGAGCTGGACTCAGGCATTCAGAGATTCCTCACTCCCTCCCTCATCCTTAGAATGTGGGTTCTGCTGCAGAGGCTGCTCCAAGGACACAGCCTTGAGATGGTGATGTGATGTTGAAAACAACTGGAAGGTATATCTGACTGAGTCCAATTAGGGCCTCTTTATAAACTTTTAAGATCTAGCAGGCAGGTGCGGGGATCCAATCATCTTGCTACTGTCCACGACAAGCTTCATATGTAAGTTCTCCTTGCTTATTGAAACTGCCACCTTACCAACCTGGAGTGACCTGCCCCTTCCTTTGGTCTCTCCCTGCTCTCCTTGTATGGGGGCTAATTTTAGATTATACCTGGGAAGCTCCCAGGAGGGAAACAAGCCAACAGGTTAATATCTACAACATACAAAGAATGTATTCAACGTAATAGCAAAAAACAATCCAACTTAAAAATGATCCAAGGATTGGAAAAGACGCTTTTCCAAAGAAGACATACAAGTGGCCAACACCTATGTGAAAAGATGGTCAACATTGCTAATCATCAGGGAAATGCAAATCAAAACCACGATGAAGGGCACCAGAGTGGCTCAGTGGTTAAGCCTCCAGCTCTTTTGGCTCAGATCATGATCTCCCAATTTGTGAGATCCAGCCCTGCATAGATTTTGTGAACCAGTTCCTATTACAACTATTCAACTTCGCTGTTGTAAAGCAGTCATAGGCAATACATAAACAAATAGGCATGGATAGTTATACTCCACAAAACTTTACTTACAAAACAGATGGCCAAACCATGAGCTGTAGTTTACTGACCTCTGTCCTATTACCCATTTTACAACTGACTACTGCTAGACCTATCTGACTTTATTGCTTAGTGGATACAACAGAATCCAACTCAAAATGGGCTATTCTGGACATAGAGTAGCTTGGTGTCCCAAAGTTAAGTGTTCCAGGACCCAGTAACATGCCAAGAGCTGACTCTTAAAGGGCATCTATTTCTCTGCAGCAAATGGCATGGCTTCCACCTTACTCCAGAACCCCCAGGGCCTGTGTTATGATTCCCCCACTGGAGTTTGTCAAAAATTCTATACTGTACCTTATTCACCGCTGATATCTCCAACATCCTGAGGTCGGCCTGATTGTAGAATTCAAGAAGTAGAGATGATTGCATTATGGCCTAGAGCTGCTGTCCTGCTTTCTTCTGCTCTGGCCCCACTCAAAACAATAGCTTTCTATGTCACCTGGTAAATGAGCAAACAACTTTTCCTAGCTGTGGAATGTTGCCTCCAGAACCTAAAAAGGCCTACCTGGTTCCATGGTTTCTTCTCTGTATAAAGGATGCAACATGCAAAACATCCGTGTTTTATTTTGAAGGGAATACGTGGCATGGCCCTGACCCTCTGGGTCCCTAAAAATTTCAATGAATAGTCAGTCCCTGAATCCTCATAGGGTTTGTCTCCTGCTTCCTGGAATACATATTTCTTACCAAGACCTCCAACATAATAATTGCTCTGTGCTTGTCTAATTAGCATAATGTCAAAGTAATGGTTCAGTGTGATGTCCCGTAGGATATCTGTGTGGTCCAGATCTTTTTGGATTATATTATGACAGAGAGTTAACACATCCCTGAAGCAAAGCTATCAGTTAATATTGTAGAGCAATGGGTCAACTAATAGCCTTTGTGAAAAGACAAATCTGCCTGAGCAGCAGGTGGTCTGTAGACTGTTGGTACCAGAGATTTAGAGGCTGCTCTCCTAAGGAGGTGCTATCCCTGGGGTGGAGTTGGCAGTGGACTAGAAAAGGCCATGCCCTCATTACCCTTTGTATAGTTTCCTATTAAGCCACTTTTGTTAGTGTACATACTGGAAATTATTTACCTGAATTCCCCCTGAAAAATAAACCAGTAATTGAACCTTGAAAATGGACCTGGAATAGTCAGCATCCAAGATGGTCCCCATTGATTTCCACCTCTCCTAGTCTTTGCTCCCACATTGTACCAGAGATGGTTGGTGTGACCAATAGAATACAGCAAAGGTGATGGTATGTAGGGAACAGGTGGTCAGTGTCTTGCTCTTGAATCACTCCCCTGGGGAAAGTCAGCTGTCATGATGCAAGCATTCCTATAGATATGCCAGCTGGTGTGAACTTGGAAGCAGATCCTTCAGCCCCATTTGAACTTTCAGATGACTGCAGTTCTGGTCAACAGTATAAATGCCACCTGGTAAGAGACCCTGAGCCAGAACCACCCAGCTAAGCTGCTCTCAGATTTCTGACCCTCAGAAACTGTGAGATAAATGTTTGTTGTTTTAAGTTGCTAAGTTTTGGGTTAACTTGTTACGTAGATATACAGGACTAATATGCCTAATACAGGACTTCTTATTTATCTCAATCCCCAACAGAGTAACTGGTATTTAGTAAGTCCTTAATCGGTGTTGGTTGAATGAGTGAATAAATGGATAGATAAATTTGTGGCAGCACTTAAATAAGCCAGTAATCCAGTCTGTTAGTCTGGTTTTAGAGTTGAGAGATTTAACCTATAGCTTAATATGGTTCACTTCTCAAAAATTCATATCCTTTCAAATACGTCTTCCTACCTGTCAATAAAGTGATAGTAAAGAATAGAACAAAAAAGGGGCGCCTGGGTGGCTCAGTCGGTTAAGCGTCTGACTTCAACTCGGGTCATAATCTCACAGTTTGTGGGTTCGAGCCCTGTGTTGGGCTCTGTGCTGACAGCTAGCTCAGAGCCTGGAGCCTGTCTTTGGATTCTGTGTCTCCCTCTCTCTCTGACCCTCCTCTGCTCATGCTGTTTCTATCTCTCTCCCACAAAAATAAATAAAACATTTAAAAATAGAATAGAACAAAATGAATTATATAAAGATGATTTAACTTACTGATTCAAGCAAAGATCTCCACTATGATATGACAAAAGTTTTTATGGCATGAAAATTGAATTATCAGAAGTGAATTATATAAATTAACCTCCAAAATAAGTTTTTATTACAAAAACTTTTAATACAATTCAATTCCATTAAGACTAAACTGAGGACCTTGCCAAGCCAACTGACTCATAAGAGAACAAGTCAGGAGAGTCAATATGTACTCTGGGGTGACCTGAATTATTCCTTTCCCAAAGAATGCTAAGGGTATGTGGTCTTTTCTGTTAGTATACTTAGCTCCTTTCTTAGTTTTAAAAACAAGCAGTGAATACAATTCTTGGCAGGCTGCTCTACAGAATAAAGGGTATTAGAATAGAAAATGTGGTTCTCACAAAGCAGAAGAAGCAAGTCACCACAAGGGGGGATCTACATTCAAGAAAGAAATGTTGGTTGGAGGTTAGAAGATTTCTCTATTTTCAAAGAAATTAAAAATGACTTGAGATGTGTACTCCATTCCTTTATCTTTAGATCCACAGCTGCACAGTCCCATAAAAATGAGAAGATGATGTTTTACAGAGCCCCTCAGTCTCCTTCAAGGAAGTAGAGAACTTTGTTAAAGATCTGCTATTTCATTATCCATCAAGTCCTTTCATGTCCCTTTATCTATTATGATTCTGGAGAAATTCCTTTTCTCTGTGAAAAAAGAGTATGTGCTAGTGTGAGGCTTCAGGAAGCATTCAGTGTCATTGTTCTTGGAGCCAAGTTGATGTAATGAAGTCCAGAGACCTTGGCACCAGACTGGCAGTCAAATTCTGGCTCTGCCATTTGTTAGCTGGGTGACACTGAGGTGATCAATTTCCTTAAGTCTGAGTTTACTCATTTATAAGTTGGGAGAATTAAATGGGATGTATTTAAACTTAGCCAAGTGTCTGGCATGTATGAGTTCGAACATTAAGGGTTATGTTTCTTGATTATTATTTAATTCTGTTGTCTATAGCCACCTAGTTCTTAGCCTTTAGTGATTCTGCAGGAGGAGTCAAGAAGAAAAGAATAAGCTGATTTTTTTCTCTTGGTGTTACATCAGACCTAGGCAAACTGTGATATAGTGGGTTTTTTGATGAATAAAAAAATTAAAGTGGAAAAGGAGGTAAGCAGATCATCAGACATATGTATATCATAAAACATGGATAAGCAAAGTGCTGGAAGTCCATTTCATAGACAAAGCAGAGGCATTTTTTTTAATTGGGAAAGATGAAGGATAAAATAAAATCCCAAATGTGCACAGGTAGCATTAATTACAATTGACATTTTAGTTTATAGTTTGGGAGCATATACCACTTTACATGCATTATGTTAATTTATCTCAAATATTGATTTGAATGGTTAAAATATTTTGAAGGGACTTGGAAAATACTCAAGCAGCACACTAGATCTTTCATAAAATAAGCAAAAAATATGTAGAAATTGATTTGCTGCTTGAATTTAATCTAGAAATGACTTGGTTTTTGTGAAAGACGGTGGTTTACATTGTTGGAAGGCTTCACACTAAGGGAAGTCCCCAACATCCTGGAAATGATGAAAGAATTCTCTAAACTCCATTATGTTCTTTTCCTCTGGGCACCAATTAGATTCTCTGGTATCCAGATGATTCACGTCTTAGGCGGATTCCATAGACAATCAAACCCACAGCGCAGAGACCAAGCACAATGGCCCCAATCACAGGAAGCACAACTGTGTAGTCAGATGAACACTCGTCAACTAAGAGAGAGAGAAAGAAAAAAATACAATATAGCAAGTAAGGTTTGGTGAGGACATACCAGAAAGCAGACTATAGTGGAAAGGATATGAACTCTGGAGTCAAATCCAAGCTTGGCTTTTTTTTTTTAATTAAAGTATAGTTGATATTTAACCGGGCTTGACTTTTAATTCCACCACTAACTGTGTGAACTTGGATGAGTTCTTGAACCTCACAATTGCCCCATTTATGAAGTAAGCAAATTATGTAAAAGATTCTTGGTTAAACAAGATAACCTTATCTTAGCAGCAATTAATAAATATTTTTTAAGGCTCTATGCCCAGCATGGAATCTAATGTGGGGCTCGAACTCAGGATCCTGAGATTAGGAACTGAACTGCATCAAGTGTAGGACCCTAACTGACTGAGCCACCCAGGTGCCGCCTGTAATTAATAGATATTTAATAATCTTTAGACCTGTTTTTCTTCCGGGTGTGCTCTCTGCAAAGTAGAATGTGTATACATAAAAAAGATTGTTGTCAGATTATACATGATTTCTTGAAAACGTGTAATGTTAATCTACTTTGTAAAATATTTTTCTGCTACACTTAAAGTTCTAATTATTTATGAGAGTTTAAAAATGAAAATTTTAAATTTGTCAAAACTTTTTCTTTAGGGACAGCTGGGTGGCTTATTTAGTTACGCGTCTGACTTTTGGTTTTGGCTCAGGTCATGATCTTGTGGTTTGTGGATTCAAGCCCCTGTGTCATGATCTCATGGATCGTGGGTTCAAGCTGTCAGTGCAAAGACTTCTTGGGTTTCTCTCTCTCCCTCTCTCTCTCTCTCTCTCTGCCTCTCCCCTGCTGTGCGCACACACACATTTTCTCTGTCTCAAAATAAATGAATAAATTTTGAAAATAAAAACATTTTTCTTTATTTCATTAGAGAGTATTTATTCAGTTTATTTAATGTAGTCAGTCTCAACTGGAGAAAGATGGAGAGCCCTGAGGATAAAAGGGAACTTGACTAAGTACATATAAGTAGAGAACTATATCTTATTCAAGGATAGCGAAGAAGCAATAGATGAATGGATAAAGAAGAGGTGACGTGTATGTATACATATATATGTACACACACACACACAGGAATATTACGCAACCATAAAAGAATGAGATCTTGCCATTTGGAACAACCTGGATGGACCTAGAGGGTATTATGCTCAGTAAAATAAGTCAGATTGAGAAAGACAAATACCATATCATTTCCACTCATACATGAAATCTAAAGAAACAAAACACATGAATAAACAAAAAGCAGAATCAGGCCTATAAATACAGAAAACAAACTGATGGATGCTGGAGGGAAGGGGAGTGGGGGAATGGGTAAAATGAGTGAAGAAGAGTAGGAGACACAGGCTTCCAGTTATGGAACGAGTAAGTCACAGGGATGAAAGGTACAGCATAGGGAATACAGTCAATGATCTTATAATAGCGGTCCGTGGTGACAGATGTAGCTACACTTATGGTGAACATAACATAACCTACAGAGAAGTTGAATCACTATGTTGTCCACCTGAAACTAATGTAACACCGTGTTTCAACTGTACTCAAATTAAAAAAGAAAAAGTAAAGAAGAAAAATCTCCAGCATATGTTAAGGGGGAAAAAGCAACACAAAGAAAAATGCATATAGTACTCCAATGTTTTGTGTAAGTAAAGAAGAAATGAAGATATATTTGCCTGCATTTACTTAAAGAAAACCTGGAGGGATAAATGCATGATAATCCAATAAAAGTAATGGCCTTAGATGGCTAAGGGGAGAATGGGATGGAAGAAGAACAAGATGAAGGCAACGATTTGTAAGGTAAAACGTCATATCTTCTTAGTTTTAAGCGAAATGCAAAGAAAACTTTTAGTCAAATTTTCAAATATCTGAATAAATATCTTACAAGAAGAAAAAAGGATATATCCATGAGATCCTTGCATGAACCAATATTAAAATGAACCAAGGATCAATTCTCATCTGAGCTCAGAGAAAAAAGGATCAGGAGGAACCAGGGAAAAGGGAATGATAGAGTCTCTAGGAAACAAATCTGTACAAGACAGGCACTCTGCTTGTCCTATACGATTTCATTTGGCAGTGGACAATATTTACATAATTATAATCATATATACCTTATTGATTTAACAAAACACAGTGATATAACCATAAAAGAGATGTTATGAGTATGAAATCCTTGGATCTGCCATAAGTTTAAAGCTAATAAATTGAGAAATAGGAAAGCTTTTTAACATTTTTATTTTTTCTTCTTCTTTTTTTTTAGAGAGAGAGAGAGAGAGAGACAGCGTGAGCAGGGGAGGGTCAGAGAGAGAGGGAATCACAGACTGAAACAGGCTCCAGGCTCTGAGCTATCAGTCAGCACATAGCCCCACGCGGGGCTTGAACCCACAAACCGTGAGATCATGACCTAAGCGAAAGTCGGACGCTTAACCAACTAAGCCACCCAGGCGCCCCATCTTTTTAACATTTTTAAAAAGAATTATTGAGATAGCTACCATAAATTATTAAAATTAGTTAAAAGTACTTTGTCTCTTAAAGAAAGGACAGCGAAATGTTGCTTTTCAAAATGATAAGCTCTTTTGGAGTACACAGTTTTGTTACTTACATGTATATTAATAAATATGTATATCTTAGATAAAAAAGAATGTTGACAAATTAAGAAGTTAATTTGATTAAAACGATTTGGGAAAAGAAACAAAAATGTCAAAGCAAAATGCAAAGCACCTACCTATTGACCAAAATGTAAAACACATATGTTAAAATAATTCCACCATAGGGTATTATAAAGATCTATTCTTGTAAGTACACAAAGATATAATAATCTTGTTTTGTGAGAGCAAAATAGACAATCTAGATATTCATTAAAAATTTTAAGTGGTATATCCATACAATAGAAGATAATGTGACCACAAAAAAGAATGTGGTGGATCTCAGTGTGCTGACAGAGAAGTTCCCTAAGATCATGGAGCATTGCATGAACCCAAACAAAATTGCATGTGTGCCGAAAATGAAAAGATAGACAAGATTCTGGGGAAGGTTTGGGATGGGAGTAGATGTCAACCTTTACTTTGCATATAGTTTTATACTATTTAATATCACATCGCTTAAATCCTGTTAAAATGCAGAAAAGTGAGGCACCGGGGTGACTCAGTGGGTTGAGTGACCAACTCTTGATTTCTGCTTACGTCATGATCCCAGAGTCATGGAATTAAGCCCCCCATCAGACTCTGTGCTGAGCATGGAGCCTGCTTGAGATTCCCTCTCCCTCTGCCCCTTTCCTGCTCACATGCACACGTACGTGCTCTATCTTTTTAAAATAAAAATTTTTTAAATAATAATAAAATGCAGAAAAGTAAACAAAGAAAACATTGATCTAATTACCACAGTTCTTCCATTTCAATGAATCACTGCAAACCTTGGAAGGCAATTGCTTCCTCTGTACATAGATGAGTGTGTGTGTGCTCATGTGTATGCCTGACAAAACATCATTCAATTTTCAAAAAATGAGATTTTTCTCATTAAAAGTAATTAAGATGATTTAGAAAAGCACAAATAAAAAGGTAAAAACTGTAGAAGAGGAAGAAATTTCTTCTTTCCTCCAAGATTCTTCCAGCTGGTTTAAAAATTACAGATTAATAGGAGAAAAAAACACTGTTTTATTATGTGTATACAAAGGGCCAATAGTGAAATTGATACCCAAAGAAATGACCAACACAGGTAGTTTTTATACATTTTAAACAAAGAGATATTACATTTGTGAGGAATTGACAGGATAAAGAGAGCAGATGTTTGAGAGCTTTAATTAGTAAGGAGTTCTAAGTGGAATCTGGGCTGAGATAGCAGATTAATAAAAAGTAACAGGGTTTGTTTCTATAGCTTTCTTGGCTTTAACGTTCCTCTCTCTGGTGATGAGGGTGTGTTTTTACTCCTTAGTACAGGGAGGGTAACTTTTATATGGGATTTCCTGTTTCAGGGTGACCAAGGAGAGTCTGAGTGTCCTTGCGCTGGGCTGCTTCCCAAGTAGCTTCGATTCAAAATAATCAATATCACATTGCATTACATTTTGGGCCAGCCTCCCCTGGATCCCTTATGGAACCAATCACCTGCAAACCACCCACCCAGAAATTAACCTTGCTAAATCACGAACAAATATAATTTCAGGCATCTTTCTTTACAACTATAAGGACATGGGGAGAAAAATATATACACATACTTTTATTAAAATAGGACCATACAAATGCTATTTTACCAAAATTGCTTATTTTAATTTAACTTGATTTCATAGAAGAAAAGCTAAAACAAAACTGGGAAAACTACCGAACTTCAAATAAATGTATCTATGTCACAAGAAGTATTGTTTCATAAAAGATCTCTTTAAGGTTCAAAAAAGAGACTAAAAATACACACTAAGGGCTTATGAAGTGCATTTAGAGGTTATGAAATGAATGAGACACATTATACATTTTCTTAACTCTGTGTTTCCAATTTAAACATCATCTATCGATAGTGTTTTGAAAGATTAGCACTAGCAGATTCCCTTCTCTGTCTCTTATTCCCAACTCAAATATTGAATATATTATTCTTTTTACAAATTTTTTAATGTTTATTTAATTTTGAGAGAGACAGAGCACAAATGGGGGAGGGACAGAGAGAGAGGCAGACACAGAATCGGAAGCAGGCTCCAGGGTCTGAGCTGTCAGTACAGAGACTGATGTGGGGCTCAATCTCACAAATCATGAGATCATGACCTGAGCTGAAGTCAGAGGCTTAACTGACTGTGAGCCACTGAGGCACCCCTGAATAGATATATCATTTTTTAAATCATTTTTCTGGTTTAAACTATTTCAATTCTATTTGATAACTATCATTTCTATAGTTTAAAAAATGTATTTCAAATATATAACACATTCCTGATTCAAAGTCAAAATAGTACAAAATGCTGTACATTGAGAAGTTCCACTTTAA